TTTCTTGGCAGCCAGGGCACACTGCTGGCTCATGGTCAACCTGTCATCCACCAGGACACCCACGTCCCTCTCCGCAAAGCTGCACTCCAGCAGGTCTGCCCCAAGCCTGTACTGGTGCATGGGGTTGTTCCTCCCCAGGTGCAGGACCCTGCACTTGCCCTTGTTGAACCTCATCAGGTTCCTCTCTGCCCAACTCTCCAGCCTGTCCAGGTCATGCTGAATGGCAGCACGGCCTTCTGGTGTATCTACCACTCCTCCCAGTTTTGTGTCATCAGCAAACTTGCTGAGGGTACATTCTAACTCTTCATCCAGGTCGCTGATGAAGAAGTTAAACAAGACTGGGCCCAGTACTGACCCCTGGGGGACACCACTAGTTACCGGCCTCCAACTAGACTCAGCGTCGCTGATGACAACCCTCTGAGTTCTGCCATTCAGCCAGTTCTCAATCCACCTCACTGACCACTCATCCAGCCCACATTTCCTGAGCTTCCCTAGGAGGATATTATGGGAAACCATGTCGAAAGCCTTGCTGAAGTCTAGGTAGACAAAAAGAAGATGCTATTGTTTTGTTCACAGGTAACTCGTCAGGCCCATGCATGAAGCTCTACCCAAAACAAAGAGAGAACTATTTAAAAAAGAGGTGGAATATAAAGCCAGCCCTGGCAGAGTTTCGTCCACTGCTTATTTACTGAACCAGATGCCATGTCTGACCAGAGGTAAGTAAATGGCTAATTCCTCCTCAAGTTAAAAAAATGGTGCCTTTGGAAATAGGTGATTGGGTTCAACTTTCTAGCAAGGGATTCCAGGTTTTGGTTTGTGTTCCTTACCTTGGCGAGAGCCTTGCCTCATGCAGAGGACGCACCTTCTCAGCCGCGGGGTTAAAACGATAATCAGAACCACTACGCCTCCGATACCAGCCGCCACGACCCCAATGATTGTTCCAATGGATTCTTCTATACCAAACAGCCCTGGGGGAGAAGGGAAGGTAGAGAGAGTAACGTGAGATGTCATCCAGGCAAGTATATGCAACACAGCCAGCACGTTTTCTGCAGTTTGCTGCAGAGGAAGCTACTTTGATATTGATTATGCCGATGTCTTGTCTGACATGAAATCATGGGCTTCTACACGGGAGACAGTGTGTTGCACTACAGAGCTACTGATTTTTTTCATTCCTGCATAGGAAGCTGCTACGCTTTCTGGGGATTTAGAGACAGGACAGCCCCATCTCCCTAGCCATCTCCCTTAGAAGCCGCATGCTAGGGGATGGCAAAAGATGCTGCTGCCTGAATTAATGGGACTCATGCCTGTATGCTTTATTTCCAAATGGAAAAAAAATACTCTGACAATTTTGAGAAAGTCATCATTCTCCCTGTCTACCTCCAAAGGAGACAGCACCAGAGGGTGAGCAGAGCTCCACTGAAGTCCTTTCTTTGATTTGTTGCTCTTTGGGACTGTTGCACGGCAGAGATGGGATGATCCCATTTTCTTTGAGATAAGAGCACATTGGCATTCTGGCTTTATTATTTGTTGGGACCAAAGGATGGTTCAGGAAGAGCCTTTGGTCAGGTGAGCACAGTAGGATGGATGGTTGCAAGGGTGATGGGATGCAGCGTGGAGGGCATCTGCCCTATAGCTTAGAGTCTGCCAGAGCAGGAATGTCTCTTTAGAGAGAGGGAAACTGGCTGGGCAACGGCACACAACTGCTCTGATCAGATTTTAAGTAACTGCCTCATGCTCATGGTAGTCGTTTTGCCATGTGACTCACCCAGGAAAGGTAATAAAAGAACAATTGAAAGCCTTCCAATTTTATCCACAATTACAGTACGATCAGCCATTCACAACACACATCAATGCGGCTGTATTTAAGCTTCACTAGAAACTTTGGATGGTTTTGCCACCATATTCCCACAGATTTCCAAGCGTTGGGCCACCTGTTCACAGGAGCAGCCACTACCCTGCGCTGCCTAGCCACGTGGGTGGACATCCAGTCACGCAGCTGCAGTTCGCCCGTGAGAAACCCAGTCCCTTCTCCCACATAGAGGGAGGCGTCCTGTAGTTTAAATCCATCTGTGGGGCTGCTCGTTTCGTCAGGAAAACGAGGGCAATGAAGGTGCTGTAGAACCATTACTTACCTTACTTCTCAAAATCTATGTCATTTGCTTCCTCTAATGGACAAGTTAACAGAGACAGCTAATTTCTCTTTTATTTTAGAGAAGTTTTTGGACAGTCTGGATTTGTGGCATGTAACATTTCTTTGTGAATTCTATTTCTCATAATCTCTTGTTCCTTTAATTCAGGCATAGTTCAGAAATGATACATTTTATCTTCTGAGGAACACAGAAAGGCAATCACGCTGGCCAGGGTGCAGGCCAGGGTGCAGGCATTGCAAGAGTGACCTGCGCTGCTGAGACTATGAGATCAAGCCAGCTGGA